GTCATCTTAGTCACTATACTAGTTCATCTCTACTGTATTATTTAATCTGTCTGTTCATTCTGTAAATGTATTTTATCCAATGTGAACTCATGCAGGAACAACCAATTCCTTCTCATGTTCCTTTATTAGTAATAAAGCATAATACAATATTCATATCTGATAATTGCTATATTCATCCATGAGTCATTGGTGCATTGTTCTTATGTCACTGAAGAACCATATTTTAAAGTGTTACCTTTTTTCACATGTGTGGTGTAGATTTTTCTGAAGTCTGCTTTTATAAAATTTTACAACTTTCTTTGTCTGGACTGTATTTCTCCTGAAAGTGCTCTGAATATGTTCTAAATATAACCATTATATTTCATCTCTTTCTCTTTTCTATAGATTCCCCAGGTTTGCTCATCGCTTTGAGTGTCTGTGTGGCTCTGCTGCTGATTGTAGTGATTGGACAATCAGCACTGATCTACAAACTGATCCACAATAGGACACAAGGTACTACGCTCAAACCCATAGACACAGATCATAATTATGTGTTAGTCCAGGTTAGTCCATTAAAGTAGATTTGGTAGGAATGAAATCCTTTAATATGAGTATAAATTAGATCCTAGTTATGAAATATTTCCTCTATTGAAAATTAAATCCACTAGTCTTGTGGAAAACAGCTTTTTGATTACCATCTTCAATTGTTCCGCAGGGTCTGTCTCTACAAACACTGAGAGAAGAACACAGAACACAGTGAGTGATAAAACAAAGTCTTAAAACTGCTTCCCATTATAACCAAATATGAACTGTTTTAAACTGTAACAGCTTGTGTCAGTAGCATTCAGCACTGTATTATGAGGCCAGGAGCCAGGTGTGTTTAACATTAAATCTCCAAAGCAATAGATATTCAGGGCCAGAGTTGGGAACTCTTGGTGTCATAGACACACTGGGAATTATTCTACATGAATGAATGTGATGTAATGTGATGACTAAAGTGCGAGTTATTTTCTCCTGTGTATGTTACTCTGCTTGCAGACTGATGGTGATTATGAAAATGATCCTCTTGGAAAACAGAACATCAACATGGGTCCAATCTACCAGAGCCTGAACCCCAACACCACCCAATCAGATTCAGTCTACCAGAGCCTGGACCCCAAAACCAACTAAAAGGTTTTCATCTACCAGGGCCTAATCCCCAACATCAACCAGTCTGATTCAGCATATGAGAGCCTAAACCCAACATCAACCAGTCTAATTCAGCCTACCAGAGCCTAAAGCCCAAGACCATCCAATATGATTCAGTCTATCAGAATCTTACATCCAACACCAACCAATCAGATTCAGTGTGCCAGAGCCTAAACCCAAATAATTAATCAAACAGAGTTAATCTATGACAGTTAAATAATTAAATACAGCCAAATAATTAAAATCATTCTATCAAAGTGTAGACCAGGAGTGTCCAGTCTTATTCACAAAGGGTTAACTGTCTGTAGGTTTTTTAATCCAAACAAGTGAGAGCACACCTGATTCCATCTGTTTAATTGGTCTCAGGCTTTAGATTAATCATGTGCTCCTGATTTATTGGATAAGATTTGACATCCGTGTTCTACAATACAAATCAGTCAGATTCAGAGCAGCAACCCCCGCACTTACAGAGCTAAACCCAGATTCAATTGTCTAAACCCTTCATTCCCAAAGCACAGCAGGAATGATGTTCTACTCGTAGTAGTGCCACCTACTCATCCTGGTCTACCTAGTGGCCTCTAATTTTTCAGCTATGTTTTTACAAGTCCAAGAAGAACATCATTCAAGGTTCCTATTCTTGTCAAGAATGAGGTGACCCATGATGTCACCCTTCCTGTGATTTTCTGGTGAGCAGAGCTTTACATTCCATCATCTATTTCCCCACTGAAAACTAGTCCTGTTATGGAGGGTGAGTCCATAGTTTCCCCACTATCTATGCCTGTAGGATGCAATGTAGCCTCTTCTTAAAACTCTAAGAACAAGAGTACATTAGATTTTTCACATTCTCCTCTGTCTGAAGAATAGAATGTAAGAATCACAAACAAGCTTCATTCCATTCCAGAAGTCTTTGCTGTTGGAGATCTTGACTATGATCAAACCACAGTGATTAAGTACAGAATTCATATTTTGGATTCCACTCCTTTTAAGCAGAGGGCAGGGCCCATCCATCCTTCCCATTTTGAAGCAGTCAGACCTCACCTTAAAGAATTTTGTACTGCAAACGGCAGCCGTGAATCCCAAAGTTCCTTCATCTCACCAGATGTTGTTGTTGTTGTTGTGAAGAAAAATGGTACAATCCTTCTCTGTATTAATTACAGAAAGCTTAACAATCAGATCTTTGAAGACATACATGCGCTACTTTACATGGAAGAGACATTTGTAGTACTAACAGGTTTAAAGTGGATGTAACCCACTTAAAATGAGGGTTTAGTTTTTTTGTACTGCACTCAAACTACTGTAGTTGCAGTTTGCAATTTCCTGTAGAGGGCGCTTTAAGGCAGTCTAAGCCAGCTTTGGAGAGCTGGTCCAAGCTAATTTTCAGAGGAAAAATAAAGCACAGATTTTAATGAGCTAGAGTAAAAGTCTGGAATTATTAAGACTAGAAGTGAGCAATACTTTACTTTTTTTGCTCTGTAAAGCTGAAGTTTTCCATCAAGGGCTTTTCCTGTCAATTATTTGTCCTTTTAAACTACAATTGTTTTTTTTTCTTTGCATTGAGTTTGGATCCTTGCACACAGGCACTCGCACTGGACTGTAAGTGAGACCAGACTGGCAAGCCAGTACTACATGTTGAAAGCCATCTGTCCTGTGTGTTGCTCCTTCACAGACAGGGACAGAGCAGGAGAAATAGATTTTTTTTTTTTTTACACAAACTGAACTGAGATCCATCCCAAAGAAAAAAAAGAAGCTATACACGCATATTCACATAAAAGCAGCATAATGGCATCAAGCTTCAGACTTTACTTCAGAGACAGCAAAAACCTAAAGAGCTCTAAGATTTTTTTTCTTTATTTTTCTGGTGGGCTTTTTGTTCCTTAATTTGTATACGGTTGTTGATCAGACAATAAATTCACTTTCATTATTTTCCTTTAAGTCTTTTTTGTGTCTCATTCCATATTTTGAACCTAGTGAGCATGATGCATGTGGATTTCTCTATACCAGTAGGAGTGTCACATGTCCATGTTGTTGTGTTCACTTATTTTCACTTAGAAAATCAACAAAACATGGGCGTCCAAACTTTCACATATGACTGTAGCTCAATAGGCTGTAAGTCTGTTCCAACAACATTACTCCTCCAACTTACTCCTTGTATCTCCTGGGCTGCTTAAGCTTCAGCAGTAACTGTAGTGAATGTTTTGGCAGAGAAATGCTGAATCATGATGATGTGATATAGTTATATTGAGAATGTGGCTTCAGTCATTTAGTCTTTCAGAGAAATACTGACGTAAACACGCTTGACGCAAAGCTCGCATGAGGAACAGCACCAAAATGGGCCTATCCAAGCTCCGCCCACAAATGTACTCTTTCACAGCAGCCGTTTTTCACTTCAGCCCACGAGTGATGGTGAGCAGATAAAAAAATGGCCTAATGCTCTGCACGCATGTTGCACATTACTGTAGTACAGCTTGTGCAAATACACAAGCATTTTACTCACAAGTGTAATAGCATATGTAATTATAATAACAACATATATTATCTTATGTAGTTACACATGTATAAAAGGTAAATAAGACTTTATTAAAGACTTTTTTCCAATAAGACTTTTCTGATTGTAAAAGGAGCTGTTATTTACCTACATTATGATATACTTGAAGATACACTTGTATAATTACATAAGCTGTGCTACTGTAATCCATCTGTAACAGTGAATACATCACCAGTAGTTACATTATATTTGCATTCACTATTAATATGTAACTACACAGTTAATTGAGAAAGAAAATAAAGAGAGACTAATTAGTGTATATTCACTCTGCTGTATTTGACTGAATGGAAATTTGATTGCATGGAATGTTTTGAATGGGGTGAGACCCGTAGATGGTGACATATCACAAACACTTTGGTAAGGTTAGAAAAATGAACAGAAAATGTAGATTACACTGAACTAAATAACAATCAGATCAAATAGGTTTATTCTAATTTATTTCTTTAATTATGAGCTCCAACTCATTAATGTAATATTTAGTTACTGGTCATTAAGAGCTTTTGGTATGAGATGCTCACAGCTGGAGGACAAATAGTAACAAATGCACACAAATGCTGAAATTAGATGTACTGATAATATACAGTAAAAAAGAGAAAGGCTTTACAATAATTACATGAACAAGAAAAATTCACGGCACATTCATGAACAATAGACTCTCCATTATGATTACATCATCAGTTTGAAAAGTTCATTTTACATATTCATTAATCAGCAATGAGTGTATAGTATAATAGATTATATACACACTTAGTAATGTTGTAAATTCAATAAAATTAAATACTTTTCAGTGAAAAACTCCAACAATGAACAAATACTTACAGCACATGATCAAAAGAATATATTTTTATAACACATCAAAATAATATATTTTACTATTTCATATTTTAATATTTGTTATATTAACAGATATAATGTATCATGACAGCTCATGACATCATGTAATATCTGCTGTATAACATTCTATTACTGTAAATGAACAACAGCAAAATTAAAATACGGTAAGGTTTATTTACATGTATTTTACCTTACAGGTATTTACCATTAAATTTTAACAGAACATTGACAGTGATAATACTTTAAAAGTAATCTAGTAATCAGATGCTGTTTCTTTACATTGGTCAGTATGGAGTCCAGTGAAGCATTGTGATGAGCAAAATCTCCCTTTTATTCAAACTTTCAACAGAATGAGAAGCAGAAGTTTTCTCAGGATGTGGTCAGTGAGCTGGAGAATAAAAAGGTCTGTGTTATTTCCCGCACTCTCAGAGTGGATACTGCTGAACCAGAGAGAGAGAGAGAGAGAGAGAGAGAGAGAGAGGTGAACAGTTCTGTTCTCTCAGTAAAGATGTGGCTCTGTGTGTTTCTGCTCTACTCTGTGCTGCAGGAATCTTCAGGTGAGTCTACACGACTGTGTGAGTTACTCTTCATGTGTATCACTGCTTCACTGTAGTGAACTGTAGACAGTGAACTGTAGATGAAATGTAGAAAAGTTCAGGTTCTAGATAGTTTGTTATTAGCAGTTCTTTATTGGCTTTTTCTCCTCTGATCTTGTCTTATCTCTTATTTTTTGGAGTACTACATGATGGAAAGCCATATAGCTGTGTATTGATCACATGTCAAGCTGGACTGTATTCAATTCGGACACTATTTCAGCATTTTGTAAAATTAAATGTAAAAGAAATGCTCTGAAAATATAATAAAAATTTTAAAAAATTAATTTGCTTTTAATTTTGGCGGAAATTCTGCATGTCACTACAGAAAAGCATTGCATTTCATGTTTTTCTCTGTAGTTTTCTCTGTAATTTGGCACAAATTCCTCCCTATACTCACCTATTTACACATATAGCAATGTTTGACTGTCTACCCCGAAATACACGACATGTCTCACTGAACATGAAATATCAACCGATTAGACTGACATAAGCTTGTTTTATACCAACATATCATGGAGCATAATGATAAATGAAGCTGTATTTTCCTGTTTTGCAATCTACACTGATGTTTTGCACACCTGTTTTGCAAAGTTACTCACAAGTGGACGAGTGAATCATCAGGAAGAGTGTATTTTGTTTCTGGGCCAAAAAACAATGAAGCTCCTTTGTTTACTGTTGTTGCAGGACTTGTATTAATATTGTTTACCATTTGGAAACATTTTTTACCTGACGTTTATTACAAAATGCCATTAATGGGCCACTACAGACCACTTCCCCTCAGTATAGGCCCGAGAACCACCAAAGTCTGCTTTGTAGCCCATTTTTGGTCCATGACCCAGTGGTTGAGAAACCCGGCTTTAAAGAACCTAAACCATTGCAAAACACATGATAAGGGTCCTCTTATTCTAAAGTGCTACCCCTGAATTCTATTAGCTCCCTTTCTATCATTGCCCCTGTGCCTGTCTTGAGCAAGATTCACTCTCAGAAGTCTATTTTGTGATTTTTGAATTTTGCCTGAGGAATCTGTTGTTTTTCTTTAAAGACACATCTTTAAATAAAAACTTTATATGCTTTGAAAAGGCCATTTTTTCCATTTAGGCACATTTTTAGGTCTTGGATCACGCATGATGTATAACTCAGAAAAACGTTTGCCATCTTAGTTTCTAATGCTGACTTTTCACAGAGCTGGATATGAATCATTCTACCAAAGTGATTAAAATTTAGACTAAAATCATTTTGCTTTGAGTGAGTCTAGCAGTGACACTTTTAGCTAATTTTAAGCAGAACTCAAATATGTGTTTCGGTAGTGACTATTCTTAATGTTCAGCACTGCTTTTTATATTTTGGGACATATTTACTTGAAAACAATAGGATCTAACAGCTCGCCATTTGGCCATTAGGCACAGGACATTTTTGTAATAAACTTTATTTACGTTAAAAATTAAAGTCATTAAAACTGGATATCTGAAATATCTGTCCTTAATTTGGTGAGCATTTATGATGGTATATCCATCAATGTCCACAGTTATGTCAGAATTTAAGTTGCAGTAAAACAATTACATTTTCTCCACTGGTCTTCTTTCTCAAACTTAACCTGCAGTGAGATTTCTTCCAGCAAACAAGTCCACTTTTTTGTGCTTTCATAGAACAAAACTACAAGCAGAGAAAACAGAGGCCCAGGGTCAGCAGAAGCCACAGCCCCAGAAGCCAAACTAAATCAAATCTGTTTCATAGTCCATTAAGTCATGAAATATCTAAATTTGTTGGTGCAGAACACTCTACCTGGACTCTGGTGCACACAAAACAACTGAACAGTGCTACGGCAAAAATCGTGGGTGTTGGTTCCAAGTGGACCCTGATTCAGTTCACTGCTGGTGGGAACACATTTTAATGATGGTCTGAGCCAAATGAGGGAAATCGATATCTTTTTTTAGTAGCACATCAGTGCTGTACAACACACAATACAGTATTGTACTCTACAGTCTTGAAAGATTCTTGTATTATAATAGTGAAGATTCATTATCAGTCAATGTGTTTCATTTTGGCACAAGCATCACCAACCTGATTTATTACATTCAAATTATCAAGCCAATCATAAAAAATAGACATCAAGTAAGGTTATAAAAACCCACTTACTGTTCATTTAATGAATGATGAACATAATTTCTTTTTGAATACCATAATGAACATTAATGTACAGGCAGGGATGCGGGAAGTGGTTGTGCTCAGGGTGCTGCAGATCAGATAATAATGAAGAGATCTTTGCATCATAATAATTACACCGATCAGGCATAACATTATGACCACCTCCTTGTTTCTACGCTCATTGTCCATTTTATCAGCTCCACTTACTATATAGGTGCACTTTGTAGTTCTACAGTTACAGACTGTAGTCCATCTGTTTCTCTGCATACTTTGTTAGCCCCCTTTTACCCTGTTCCTCAGTGGTCAGGACCCCCAAGGACCCTCACAGAGCAGGTACTATTTGGGTAGTGGATGATTCTCAGCACTGCAGTAATTCTGACATGGTGGTGGTGTGTTACTGTGTGTTGTGCTGGTATGAGTGGATCAGACTCAGCAGTGCTGCTGGAGTTTTGTCCACCACCCAAAATAGTACCTTCTCTGTGAGGGTCCATGGGGGTCCTGACCACTGAAAAACAGGGTAAAAGGGGGCTAACAAAGTATGCAGAGAAACAGATGGACTACAGTCTGTAACTGTAGAACTACAAAGTGCACCTATATAGTAAGTGGAGCTGATAAAATGGACAATGAGCGTAGAAAAGGTCATAATGTTGTGCCTGATCAGTGTATAGTGCAGTAAAGAACCTTGTGTGCTTGTTTTAGTGTGGACATTTTCCATTTGATTTTTTTTCAATATTTCATTTATAGAAATCTGCAGTAGCTACACTGTTTAGTTTAACACTGAATATTCATTACAGAGAGCCGAAACACTTCACAACATCTGTCACCCATTTAGTCACTGTCACTAAACACAAGCAAGTTGAAGTGCAAAAAGCTAAAATCTATGCAGAGTTAGAGGCCTGGAGCAGTAGCTGTTACAGAACAACAGCGCCTCACTTCATGATTTCATCCATTAAATCCAGCTTTTTTTTTTTGTTTTTTTTTTAATTACCATTATGTCTCCTGCTCTGTGTCTATTCTGATAGATCTGAGTGTGTGAGTGTGGGTGACACAACTGCTACACCACATCAACAATCTGATTGGGCACCATTTAGTTCATTTGAATAAAGTTCTTCCAGAATGAGAGGGCAGAGGGAGGATGTGCATCAGTGGTTTAATGTGTCAGTTATGTGTCTATATATTGTCGTATCTCAACACATTATAGCACGTTATGACACGTAGTGTTTGTTATTGAGTTTATGTTCTAAAATATGATGAAAAATGCTTAATGGAAGTTGATGTGATGTTTCTGCAGGTTGCACTGTAGAGCGAGGAGTGGGAGCAACCATCACCAAATCTGTGGGAGATTCTGTGGTGCTGCTGTGCTCCTGTACAAAACAAACAAAGGTTAATCCACAGACAGTGCAGTGGGGATATAGCAAGAAGTTCGTAGGAGGCGACTACACAGCTGAACACTCAGTGTTTCTAAAGAACGGCAGTCAGAATCAGCGCTACAGAGACAGAGTTCAGAGACTGAACCAGAATAAACCAGGAGATTTATCTCTAATCATCTCTCACCTCACTGAGGAAGATGAAGGAACTTATCTGTGTGGAGTCAAAGGGAAATATAACAGATCTATCATTCTCTATGTCAGAGGTAAATCTAACTGGGATTAATTTTGATGGGGGTCGGGTTCAGAATATACATGAAATAAAATCATCATGTATTTTGTAACCTTTATTTATAAAAGCAGCATATTCATATGTTTCTGTTTAATGTTAGACAGTAAATTAATGTTTTGTAGATCAGTAGAGCTGCTGAGGTTACATTCCTCCATCAGTTCCTACAGCCTCTTTACTTTCACCACTGCAGATTTTACTTCTTCAACATGGATAACATTATTCATTAAAGGTCACAAATTATTAATTATGTTGATCATAAGTCATTGATTTCCCTGTGCTATTCACTAAACATTAGTTATTACATAATAACTAAGTAGTTAATATAAAGTAATTGAGTCTCTGTTAGCTGAAATTTGAGTAATGCTTTACAGTAACTACATATACATGACACATTCATGGTACATTCATAAACAGTACAGTAACATTCCATTACAAAGACATCAGCATTTTTAACACACATTAAATTGATTCATTAATGAATAATGAACATATAATGTAATGAACTGAAAACACACAGAGATGTGGAGTACAAACTTCATGAAATGAAGTTCATTAAAATACACATCAATTATTTTCAGGGAACAAATGATCTGAAGCACATGATATTCAAGAGATAGCCATATTGCATTCAGTACTGATCTATTAATAATATTTAAAAAATCATGATTGATACGAATGAATGACATTTCACATTTCTATACATAATTCACTAATAATAATGAATGATCCTAAATGTGTAATATTACTGTACTGCACAGTTAATCAATGCTACAGGAATATTTCATGTATGAGTAGATACTGCATTTTGTTTGGATTTCATATCAGTCATTAATGACAATAAACGCTGTGATCAATAATGAATGTATTTTGGATTTCTCTCACAATGAGCTCACCATTTGAATAGTATTATAGGCTCTGCATAGATTTTAATTTATTAATAAACATATCATGAAGTTCACACTGAGCATCACTGACTGTGACAGTTCATAACATTAATAATTATCAATTATCCATCACTCATTCATCACTGTGCAGCCCTGTATGGAACTTTGTCTTTGGGTTTAATTTTTAGATTTTCACTACTTATTATACTATGAACTCCGGATTCAAACAGGACTTGTTAATAATATCTTCATTAATCTACTCATTTAGAGTCCCTCAAGTAAAGTGAGACATATTTGCTCCTCCTACATAACAGTGACATAACCATAACATACCATAAACACGTTATAGTAGATGTCACACACTCATAGTGATGCAGGATGATAACAGAATCATATTGATTCATATCAAATTGTATCAGATAATTGATTAAAAAAGAATTATCATCTGACTAATGTTCAGATTTGATTAACAGTTCAAACTGATATTTGATGATGGAATTACTGAAATGCGTAAGTGCAGAATGTTTAAGATGCTGTTCTGCACCAAAATATTGGCATTTTATTAATTTACTCCATTTGTAAACCTACAAAAATAAATTTTAGATTTCTCTGTAATGTAAACTCCACAGCAGTGAGTAAAAATATCCTTCAGACTGTAAATGTTTATGAATCAGCATCAGCTGATATTAACAGAGGAGTTAACAGTGGTAAAGACCACTGAGAGAACTGTTTACTGTGGTGTTGTTGTTGAGATGGTGATGATGTGTTTATCTGTATTTGTGCAGGCTGTGCTGTGCTGGAACAAGGGGAGAGAATGTTCTCCAGATCTCCAGGAGAGTCTGTTCTGCTGCCCTGTCCCTGTCCCACAGACCAACACAAGATCAACCCTGACAGAGTCACATGGACTAAAAATCAGACTGCAGTGTGTAATGATACAGAATCCTACAGAGGCAGAGTCTGGATGTTCAACCAAAAACATTCCAGAAATTTCTCTCTCCTCATCTCAGATCTGACTAAAGAGGACTCTGGACGCTACACCTGCAGAGCTGATGAACACACATCATCTGTCGGACTAGAGGTCAAAGGTCAGCCAGTCAAATCATAATACAGTTTCAGTACTGATCACACTGCACCAGTGTAACTGACTCAGCACCAAATCTGTTTCCAGAAGCTTCTCTCTGTAAGACTGAAGAGAACAGTAACAGTAACTGTAGCTGTGGAATGTGATGGTAGTACAGATGTGACTGCTGTAATTAAACACACTGGAAAGAATTTTCATAACTGAAAACTACAAAAAATAATAATGCAGTTGTTACAATACATACAACAAATAATTTAGATAATAAAATATCTGAGACATTTACTCCTTTTATGAAGCCACACTCTTCTGTGGGATACAGATGTTTGTTTATTAAGCTAAACACTCAGCTGGTCAGCATTAGGGCCCAGTAGCAGCTCTGCACAGTAGCCTCAGTGAAGAGTGTGATCTGGCTCAGCTTGTGAGACTCTATTCCTAACTGTGTGTTTGAGGCCACAGTGTGGATCTGAACTCCAGCTGCAGTTCACATAAGTTTCCTACTGCATGTATTACTGAGAGTAAATGAGAGCGGCTGCCCGCCAGCTGTGAGCTACAGGAGAATTACTCAGACTACAGCGGCTGGTAAAGCGAGCGGGGCTGAGTTTAGTGAGTGTTCTGGTATAAAGTGGTTTTGAGTGAAGAGCTGATATTTTCATTTTAATCAGATGGATAAAAAGACACTGTTTCCTCTCCTGCAGTGCTCACTGTTCAAACAGAGCCAGCAACCTGATCAGGGGCACAGGATCCCTGTTTTAGCATTTTATCGCAACTTCCTATGATAAAAATTATTAATCGGTATGTATTTTTACCTTGTAGTATTATGGTTTATGTTAAAAATTACAATTAAAAATAGAGTTTGTGCAATAGTGCAAAATAAGAAGAATAAAAAAGCAAAACTTTTTTCATTCAGTTATTAAAGAAAACCTTGTCTTTAGCTTTTCAGATTCTTGTTGAAAATGTAAATATTTAAAATGATTTTTATGGACTATTTAAAAAAGAAATATTCAACAGTTGCAGTTCTAGACATAAGGGGTATTTTAAGGTGTAGGAAAGTGATGTTCAAGAAAACTGGACATTTTCTCCTAATAAAAAATTCAGGTTTTAGACAAATTTTACAGCATTTTCATGTAATGGAAAGGAATGAAGCTCTTCAAATGCAGTTCATTTATGATTTACTGTTTATGTAAACATATATAATATATAATACATACCATATTAATGGTCAGTTAAAGACTTTGTGTTGTTGTTTTAGGCTGCGCTCTGTCAGAGATTAAACAGACTGTTCCAGTCAGTAGATCCTCAGGAGAGTCTATTCTTCTGTCCTGCACCTGCACTGACCTGCAGGACAGACCTGAGAGAGTTCAGTGGAGAACACCAAACCATGAAGATCTCCTTCAGCACTACAGTGGCCGAGTTCAGACGTTGAACCAGAACTCTACAGGAAATCTCTCTGTACTGATCTCAGACCTGACTGAAGAGGACGGAGGAACTTATTCATGCTGGATAAACCAGAATCAGTACAGGAACTTCAGCCTCACTGTTAAAGGTAAACTGCTGAATTTAAACTTACTGTATTACTACAGAATTACTACAGAACTACTGTAAGTTTTGTTAAAAATCTTAGTTATTTAGGTTTATACTGTGTGATTTGCTCACCTGCCGTGTTATGACTGGATCAGAATTGATAAATAGGTTTTAATCTGTTCAGAAGCTTGGACTGAGGCCTCCATACATCTTTTTTATGATAGTCATGATACAGCATGTAAACAAATCTTGAGCCCTGTTTAGTGCCCACACTGTACAGTACAGCTGCTGTTATCATGCATCACGAATGAAGAGCAACATGTCAGTTCCTAACAGCTCAAGGCAGCCGCAAAGATGTTCCAAGCGGTGACCACAAAGAGTTTGCATTTAAGTGTATTTTTCAAAAGTGTATTTAATATGTCTGTATTGTATACTAAACATATTATTTTGTTACAGCTTATGACAGCGTAAGTGTATTTAAATTGTATTTAGTCAATGATTAATATTAAATGCATTTAGTTTTGCTCTTGAGTGCTTTAATCAAACAATTTAAGTTGCAATTCAAAAGTAGATTTCAGTGTTTAGTTTGCTGGATATACCAATACACTTCAATACTACTTACTGAGTTACTAAATGCACTTCAATGCATTTTCAATTGTACCTCAAGTAAATGCTCTCAAGTGCATTTTCACAAAAAAAAAGCTTTTTGTGCATTTATAAAACATGTAACTATACACTTAAATATATTGTTAGCAATAACTAAACTAAACAAGTAATATTGAAATACATCTTCTTTGCCTACAATAACTATTCTGTTCTAAATTGGAACAGCTTATGTTGCAGTGGAGTTAAGTGAATAAAGACATAAATTCTACGACAAATTTTAGTCTAATACTGATAACCATATCTGATTGATATTTAGTTAGAGGTATAATGCTGAAAAAAAAGAAAAAACTAAAAAAAAAAAAACAACTGAGGCATCTTTTAAAATATAATTCCTTAATAACAATGATGATATTTACAAATGTTTTTGTCTATTTGTGCTTTGGTATGTTAAGAAATACAGTCATTCTTTTTTTTGTCTGTAATTTCCTACAGCATATTAAAATATTAAGATCTAATTTTAAATATGTTCATTTAAAAACATATAGGAACGTATATTTGCATTTTGATAAATTACAAAAAAAAAATCTACTTTTAGTATTCTCTATATAATTCAAGTACACAACTTGTGTCGTTAAAAGTAGCTTGGATGTTTTCATTAAAGGCATTTGGTTTGGGGACCTCAGTCAGTCCTGTCAGGTAAGGACTACACCAGTCTCGAGAGTTCCTGTCCATTCTGGTCCACTCTATCATGAACTTTGTCTAGTGATGGAGAACAGGTTGGACTTGGGTGTCTGGCTTGTGCTATCCACTGACGAAGCTGTGGCTACAGTATGACCGATGTTGTCTAAGGGATTATTTAGGAACATAAATTAGAAGTTAGAAGCTTAAAACCGATGCTAACTGTGTCCTGAGTCAATAACTTCAGACCTACTAATATAATAGTAACAAGTTTTACCTTGACTTAACAAGGCTGAGACAGTCACATTTTTATTTTGGCAAATCCCATCAGCATCAGAGCCAGGAGGCTGCACAGAGGGCATCAGTTTAGCAGCCACTTTGCTAAAGCAGTCAAACAGTGTTCCAAGAAGGGAGACATAATAAGGTGTGGGTAATCACGTGTTTGTGCATATATATGTGTCCCCTGTAGGGATGGGAATCTCTAGACACCTCACAATTTGATTCGACTACGATTCAGAGGCTGTGATGCGATTATAAAATGATTTTTGATGCATCTATTTTTCTTTAAAAAAACAACAACTTGGTACTTTTAAAGCAAAGTATTTGTAACAATCCCTAATGAATTTATTTCCAATATATTGTATTAATAAACAAATGGAATTGATTCACTGCTCTTGTTTGGAGCACAAGATGCAGTCTACCACTCATCTGTGCGCTGTTACGGTGAAATAAGATTCTGTGGCAATGGGTGTCCATGCAGCAGTTTACAGCTATCCTACCTGTTTTCTTCAGTGATTACATAACTTCAGTTTTGGGCTTATTGTAGAAAGTGGGACTCCAAAGTGGGAAAAATAGCACGAAAGCCCTGGTTTCAATGATTTAGAACAGACACAAATCCTTGGCAATAAAAGTTGCGATAGAGTTTGTAATTTGCTTCTGAGTTGGGTGGAAGCTTTGACATCGCTTGCTTGATAGTGCTCTGCTTGGCAGCAAGGACAACCAGACAGAAAATGGGTGGATGTAATATGGTTTCTCAACTTTATCGCTTCCAAAATATTTTAGTTTAGTGTGACACAACTTGCATATAGTATGGCTCTTATTCAGGTCCATTTTCCACAGAACGCAAAGTTCTTCCATATGCTAGCTCAGGGGTCGGCAACCTGTGGCTCTTTTACTGCCCTGTTGCAGTTCCACATCAGAATTAGATTTTTAGTTAAAAATAAAATAATCCTCCTTTACAGTACAATAAAGCTCTGCTGATCTTTCAACACAGTTTAACAATAGTAATAATATAATACTGCTAGCTCACCAAGCTAGTAGCTAACAAAAAGGCAAAGAGAGAGATTTAAGATGAACATCGATAATTTGGAGATGAATGGACTTACTTGCATTTATAATCACTCCAGCTGGTTTCCTGATACATTTAATCTGCAATGAGAAACTGACAAACACTAAAAAACATGAAGCAGAAGTCAGTTTCTCATTTGAATTTTCTAGTTTCACCTTAAATGGTGCAGCAGTTACATTCTGGCACCTTAGGCACCATTTAAGGTGGAACGGGAAATTCGAACAAGAAGCTGGCAAATGAGAAGCGACTTCAGCCTCATAAAAAGTCGAACATTAAGAGACATTTTACAAGAAACTACTACTTTTGAGGAAAAGTTTCCTGCTGGAGATGCGAGAAAAGCAGCTACAGCTGAGCTGAAGCTTAAAGCAGAGCAAAGTAAGTGCTGTTTTTGTTTATATAATATTTTTTACCCTACACTAGGACATCAGCACATACTGAGACATATTTACAGCCAAGATGGTAAAATAAACTCTGGCTCCCAAGGGGGTTGATTTTTGTTGGAAGGACAAAATGACTCTTATAAACATTTTGGTTGCCGACCCTACACTTGTTTTTAGTGTAGCGTGTCACCACAGACTGTCCAGGCACTGCACTTCTGCACTTGCAAGTTTTTCCTTTTGCATTCCATCAACATTACATTATCAATTAAAATAAAATAAAAAAACAAATAAATAAATAAAATACAAAAAATATAAATATATACATTTGTGAATCAATTCTGAATTTTCCACATCCGCATTGCAATGCATCTAAGAATTAATCTGCCCCCACCCCCCACTATCCCGTTAGTGACTCTTTGTAATACTTTGTATGTGGTTGATGCATAGCTGCCTTTCTGAAGTTGGTGTCTGATGGTGGTGTTTGATCTTTGTATTTAATCTTGATTGGGGAAATGCTTTAAGTATGAATTCCACCTGTGATAGTACTGTTTGCAGGTGGCAAAAAAACTTTGAAGCTTAGTTTGGCGTTGGTGAGCAGTACAGGGACATTCACACTGTCTAATTTTGATATTTGAGTATCGAGCATTTGACGTCATTAAGTGATATCCAGTTCATCTCATGGGAAAAAAAAATGGCTTTAACAAGTGAAAAACAGCTGAAAACAACTGAAGGACCTGAGGTAGGTTGTCATTTTGGATGAGTATCTGAGGCTGCCTCTTCAGTGGGCTAATAAGCTAACAGAGCTAACAAACATCAGGTTGAATGCTGATGAGCACTTCTTGTCATGAGGTATTTTCGCCTCAATATGCCAACAGCTTATTTGTCAGAAAAATATATTTTTATTGTTTTGGTTAAGATTGGTTAGTTAACATTACCTTAGTTAACATTAACTAAGGTAGCTAGCCTTGTTAGTGATACAACCACGCTAACTTTGCCATCTGAGTCACATCCTTAACAACACTTCCTTGGCAAAGCAGTTACGTTCAGACACTCATGTTTTGGAGTATCAAAAACGTATTAGATATTTTGACTGGTTTTTGCATCATCTTCAGTGTGTAAAGACTTTAAGGCACTGGCCAATTAGATCATTAAATGAAGCTAACTTGGCCAGCATTGTAATCTGTAATAACAGATCTGTGAATTTTGCCATATCAAGATATAATTTTACAGATATGATAAAAATTGATACTTCAGTTCAAAACTTCTCAATCACTATTGAACACATAAAAACATAATGCAACAGTAATGAACAGAACAGAAACACTGTGCTTCTGTATGTTCCTACAGGCTGCACACTGTCAGAGACTCAGGAGAAACTGATTATCAGATATCCAGGAGAGTCTGTTCTCCTGCCCTGCTCCTGCACTGACCAACACACCAAACCTGTAAGTGTGAAATGGGAGCATGTAGAATCAGGAGGGACTGAGGTATCCAATAAGATGACAAACTACACAGGCAGAGTCCACATGTTTAATAAGAACCTTCCAGCAAATCTCTCTCTACTGATCTCCAACCTGACTGAACAAGACCAGGGAACATACAGATGTTCAATCAACAACAATCAGTCCATCAACATCAGACTCGGTATTAAAGGTAAACTCACTTAGACATACAAAGACTTTGCAACTTAACTTTTACCTACTTTTCCATGCTGCACCTGTACTGAAACTGATAACTACCATCATTTGGCAGTTTTGCATTGAGTAGTTTTTAGGCACTGAAGGGATGTCTGATATGCCACAGTTAAACAGTTCTTAAAAACACTGGAACAAAAACAATGAATTTGTTTAGCATAGCATCTGTTTTAAAGAGAAACAAATATACAGTCAA